GCAATCTGAAATAATGCGTCGAAAAAAACTGCTTTTGAATTTTTCGAAAATGCATCAAAGTAAATTGAACCTTAATGAGAGTGGTCTGGGAAGATGGTTACATTCTATTCTCCCACAGGTGTCGAACAAGCCTTGGTTCAAAGGATTGAACATGAGCCGTAACTTTATACGTGTCATGTCGAGGCGCATGTCCAATCACTGCTCGTTAGACTCGCATTTCTTTAGAATCGGGCTCGCAGGCAGCAATTTGTGCGCGTGTGATAGTGGCTATCACGATAATTCAAATTCATAAAATTCCGATGATTTTTTTTACGATACTGTCATCAAAATGTGCAAAATGTTGATGACCTTTATGCTCAAACGGGATGATAAAAGTTCAATTATAATCATAAAATTAGAACGAATATGATTTTCCACTTTATCTAATGATTTTGTAGTATGGCCAAGAACTGGTGCATCTAATCATAGTGTGCACTAATTGGCACTAGCTTTGATGGTTTTGATAGTGTGAAAGTGAAATTGTGTTCGGAGTTTTTCGTATTTATGCCAGATTCAACACTGTCTGGAAAGTAACCTCTTACCTGTGTCACCGATAGAATGGAGGTCAAGGCTGATTGCCCAAAGTCATCGCTGAGCAAGCTGCAAAGAATCATCCATTGAACTGAGTACCACCGATAAATATCGCATCAAGATTTCAGGATCCTAGCTACTCAGTAAACTCTACCTGGCCTAGCCCGTTCTTCGATAATGATTGGTTACCACAAATCCAGAGAACTCGACGTATTGGATTAGAAGGTCGACGTGGACGTTGTCTGTAAGGCGTTTAACTTATCAGATAGATTTTGAGTTTTGATTTTCCCTAACTGAAAACTCTTGGACATATTTACAACGAATGCTGCTACTAAGAAATGAACAAACCTTCGGCTAAAAATCTTTATATTAAATAATTAAAAAAAAAAAGAATGCAGCTACTTTGAGACATGTTCCCAAATGTGCAAACAAGTCTTTTTAAATAAAATATGTTAAAAAAAATATCATAATTAATTCATAATAATCCAAAAATATCCACCCAAAGCCAGACCAGAGCCAGGGTTGCATCATTTGGGTTCGTGATACTAATATCTAATGTAAAATCAAAATTAATTTGCTGCTTAATCTAAGAAAATGTGTTGTACCATTCGTATGACATCGATGTCTTTGACTAAAGGCAAATTCATACATTGAAAATTATGAATAAAATATTTTTCAAAAATCATTCAAAAATATTAAGTTTCTAAGTTCGTCAATCTGATTTCATAAACATCACTCGAATTTTCAGCAAAAGCTTGTTGAGTATACGAGTGGTCCTCATAACGGCCAATAGAGGAAGAACTAATGTAAAAACTGGTGCTAGAGCTAGAAGCTTTAAATCGGTTATTAAGATTATTGTGATTCAAATTTAATGTGAAATCTATTAATATTCAAAATGGTCTTAACCAGGGCTCTACATTTTCGATGCTATAAATGAACTCGAGTTTTGTCTCTTTCATACAAAGTGTTCAACGGATCATTTATACAACACCTAGCTAGACTATCAGCATTAAACGAAAATGAAAAAGAAGCACACTAAGAACGAAAGGCTGACTGTAGATTTTCTCGTCGTTGCTTTGCTCATCACTTTCAATGAAAGTTACGTCGATTATCGAGATGAAACAAAACCTACTTATGGCCTTCAATCCCTTTCACCGACGCTCTATGACCGCTATTACAATTTGTTTAATATGCGTTATGTCCCGTTTTAGTTTTTTGTTTTTAAAGATAAATATGTAGATGGCAGATAAATTAAACATATTACGTGTAATCTTCAAGTATTTGTACGTGAGAAATGCTTCTCCGTTATGTGCGTCATGAAACTTCTGTTGATGTGTATCATGAAAGACGAAACTATCAAAGTCGAGCGCTCTTTCACTCATCCGCTTCACCGAAGAAAGTCCAATGAAGCGACGGGAGAAAGAGAGACAAGCGATTGAACATTTCTAGATAGAGCTGGAATTAGGGCGTAACAGCTTTTGTAAACAATGACTTCTCTCGATGATTTCTAGAAACTCAAGGCTCGCCCGAGCAAATCAATTTCACCATCAGATAGAGGAAGTATTCCCCTACCCGATGGTTATGTTGGTTTGCGTGGGCCCGCCTTGAATTTCTATAAATCATCGAAAGAAGTCATTGTTTACAAAAGCTGTTAGACCCTAATTCCAGCTCTATTTAGATTTGTTTGTAGATGCCGACTGAGGTTCTAGAATGCTGCGAAACTGTTTGACTTCAACAGAAAAAGAAAGCTAGCAGTCTCTTCATCGCATCAATTTTATCGATTGAAGCTGATATTGTGACGCCCTGGTCTTAACTTCAATGCAATGGTATAACATGCTTCATAACATGGCGGCTTCTATTTTATAAAATTTGAAAACTAAATATGCTTACTAACTAGCGTTGAAATTGACTCACCTACCCTGCTTGACTTATTAACATTTGAGTACTGCATGTTTTTTGGGTTAATATTACCCATAAGTTTTCAATGCTAATCTTAATATTTCGTTAAGGAAAACTGTCCACCATAATTTTTCCTACAACTCTTCTCAAGACCACCTTTTCGAAACATTTGAAACGGAAAGTTTTCAATCAATATTTGAATTATGTAGGGGCACCTAGATTAAAAGCAAAAAAATAGTTCTAGCATGGTCAAACGAAGAGCTAGAAAAATTGTGGGTTTTGTAAGGTTATAATAAAGAAATATTAGTTACAACTTTGATGAAGAATGTTAACCTAAAACAAAAAAGGTAGATTCCTGATTTAGACTAAATTGAGGACTACCCTAATCTATTTTTTCTTAAAAAAATGCCCGTTTAATTGCAAACATCTTCTACGAAGACACTAACCCCATAACATAAATAGACACGGGGTATTATCCCCCCCCCCACCCCTTAATTGCCGTTTCGGACTACAGTGCACTGAGTGATTAAAATAGAATTGCTTTAATACCGACATAATTCGATTGCTTAAACATTGTACTTTATTCTTATAAAATAGTATCAACCGCCTTTTGATGGATGAATGACTGTAGACTGGATCAGTAAATTATCAAGTGCAGGGTTTTTTTTTTGTAGTAGAACAGTTTTCCTCGACCTCACAACTTTTGACACTTTCCAGCGTCTCAGAGTCGACATGCTTATCCTATCCACTTCCCTATAGCACTTAGGTACTCCTTACCGTGTCGGAGATGATTGTGATATCTTTGGCTTCTCCGCTGGTGCATTCGCATGTATTTTCCAGCTTTCCAACTTTTTACATATTGTTTGTTAGTCTGCTGGTTGCGTCCCCCCATACGGTGTCGATTGCGGCGGTGACTTCCATGTTGCATAGTGCCTCTCATCATGCCTCTCATCATCCGAATCTTGCCTCTCATCATGGTTCGCATCATCTGGCGCTGAGTTCGTCGGGCGTTAGCCATTATGTCTGTCAATAACATGATGGGTTCCGCAAAGCAATCCCCCATCAGAACGAGAATCAACACGATGGGGATAATCTGCAGGATAGAAGGTTAAACACTAGTGAGGGCTATTCTAATACCAAAATTTTATGCTTACCTTCATAGCTGCTGCGGTTGTGTTTGCACATGGCAAGCTTCCCGACACAATGCGCAGTTAGTACTACAATGCAAATCAGTTTGACTATCTTTATATAGGTCGGCGGTACGTTCCGATACAAGTGCAGCAATGACCCTGGCTGCATCCAGAAATATTTAGAAAACCTGTTGCATCCTCCAAATATTGGCGCAAACAATTTATGCACCTTCCATATAAGTCAAGATCATCGATATCGAGAATGATCGGCATAAACCAGTTTAAAATCGTTGCGACGTCGCCGGCGTTCGATGGAAGGTGATTTGCTTTTCGAATTCCGCACAGGGAAAATCCGGTACCTGACCGTTGAATCTACAAATCACCGGGCAATAACCTCGTAGGTCGCGTTCATCGTAGAACGGTGGCACTTTCGCAAACCTCTGACCGGTCCAGGGGGTTTAGCTTCAACATAAATCGGCGCATGTTGGTAGTGGGAATGCACCGACAAACACTATTATTAAACCTGATCGAGTAAAGAAGGGAAATAGGTAGGTAAATGCAAAAAAAAAATACCCAAAATAAAATACACCCACATTATCGTTAAAACTAACCGGAGATTTAAAAAGATTAATTATTCACTGCTGCAAATTTGCCTAAGGCCAGGCTATGGCGGCGTTGTGGCATCTGCTAGCATGACAAAACATTATATAGACGTTCGCCTCACGCCACACGACTTCGACATGATGTTTTGACATCTTGTACGATACCATATCGCTGCCATAACAGTGGCCAAAGACATGTCACTGAGAGAATAAGATTGGGTATGAACCAGGACATTTCTTCAATACTGACACTAGTCGATTGTTTTAACATTGTACTTTATTCTTATAAAATAGTTTCAACCTCCTTAGTTGGTTGGATGGTTTCAGACTGGATCAGTATAAAGTTCAGTTTTGTTATGTGGTAGAATTTTTTAAGCATATCAATCGGATCTCGAAATTGTTGTCATTTTCCAGCGTTTCGGCGGAGCTCAGCTCATCCTAGCCATTTCCCGAATGAATGAAGCCGTTCCATACGGTGTCGGTGTCGTTGATCTGACCTTTCCATCATTCGCCTGTGTATTCGCTCAAATTTTCCAGTTTTCCAATCCTTTTTTCTAGCTTTAAACGAGCGTTGCGCTGATCCTTGTCCCGTTGCCATTGCCGGTCGCATTTCCATGCCCGTTCCCATTCCCATTCCCATTCCCATTCCCATTGCCGGTACCATTGCCGGTCGCATTCCCATTCCCATTCTCATTCCCCTCGACCGCCCTATTCCCCTTGACCGCTGCATTATCCTACCTCTACGATTTGACCGTATCCGATTCATTCTCATCATTTTAAGCTTCTGTAATTGCAACAGTTTAAGCTTAGTGAGAAGCAACAGCGGTTCGGCGAAGCAAATACCCATCAGAACGAGGAACAGCACGATATAGATGAGCTGCAAAGGGACATGGTTTAGAATGTTACAATCTGTGAAAGTTGCTCTAATTCTAGTTATTGATGCTTACCTTCATAGCTGCTGCTGCTGGTTCTGCACATGGCAAGTTTCCCGACGCAATGCGTAATGTGTACTACAATGCAAATCCGTTTGACAACCGTTTTATAGGTCAGCGGTACGTGTCGATACGATCGAGTCAGTGGCCCTGGCAGCATCCAGAAATATTTGGCGAAACCTGTTGCATTGATTGATCTTGAGACATGCGAGCGATGAACGCGATTATGGACTTACACTCATGAATATGTTCTATCGCAATCAGCATCTCTGCAGTGATAGATGTGTGAGCGTATGAAAATGAGAGAGGACAAGAGAGAGATAGAGCGAGTGAGAGAGAGGAGTGGGGGGGGGGGGATGGTATAAGCAAAACAAAGTTTAATATTACCTTCGACTAAACTAGGTATACAATACATATATGTATTTGAAAAGTGATCATATTTTAACGTTTATCATTGATTCATAAAATCCATTGTTCACGAAAAATTATCAACAATTCTAAAAGGAGCTGGAATTAGGGCGTAGCAGCTTGTTGATTTATAAATACTTCAGGCACGCCTACACAAGCCAACATATTCATCGGGTAGGGAAATTCTTTCCCCACTCGATGGTGATGTCGATTTGCCAGGGAGTGTCATGACTTTCGAGAAATTATCGAGAGATGTCATTGTTTACAAAAACTGTTACGTACTAATTCCAGCTCTATCTAGAATTGTACATTTCTTCAAATTATAAAGAGGAAGGGGCGCCGGTGGTGTAGTGGTAAGCGCGATTACCTCTCACCCCAGCAGGCCTGGGTTCAATCCCAGTCGGCGCCGCCGGGATGTTCTGAGGCATAACATCTCTGGTGATGGCTTCCTTCCGAAGGGAAGTAAAGCCGTTGGTCCCCGGCTCATGAGTTGATATGGGTCGATAGGTAGGGTCCAGGTGTGGGAGTTTCCGCGTCGGTAGCATTGGTGCTCAGCACGAAAAACAAGATCGACGGAAAACAAATCAATGAAAAAAATATATAAAGATCATGCTTATGCAAATGTACATTAAGTAACACCGGACAGCTTTGGAAATAATCCACTTTTGATGTAGGGTTAAAATCTGATTTCCGTCATACTAAGTACAACCCACACTTAACCTCTATTTTTCTAACGGGTTTGAATATAGAATGGAATGTTTCTAGCAAATATAACTTCACAATTAACTTACCTTCCTAGATTAGATTTGATAAAGAGTCTCAAATTCTTGAGATATGTATAAAAATCTTCTTCTTGGAGCCAATTCCTTCATACGAGCTTCAATTCTCTCCAAACGCATTGAAACTTGGTTCACTACAGCATACGGATGAAGGCAGGAAAAAAATGGATTCGCTAGGAGTACTTCTTTTGTTTTCGAGAAGAATGGATATAAATATTCATATTATGCGTTCGTAAAGACTCTGTTATGTAGCTTTTGAACTAAAGTATCTTATGAATTATTCGTTCACATCGAAATAATTGATATTTTTGATGTTTCTGCTCGATATGACGGAAATTGGCGCTTATGCTGAATTAGTGCCCTACTTCGGTTACTACCGTACAATCATCTGCGATGGCCCTTTCCATGTCCCAAAAAGATACAAGAACTCTGAAAAAGTCGCTATTTATTCCAATTTGCTGTTCGCAATGCTGTTGAATTTTATATGGACTGTTTCAATTTGAAACTAGAACAGGAACGCATCCCTTACAAAACTGATTAGCAGTTTCATTATTCGAGCACTATTACGCACCAATTTGCAACTACTCGACTATTCTGTTTTATTTCTGAGCAGGTTTGAAACACGAATCGAGCTCTACTTCAAATTTCTTTGGATGTATTTATACATGTTTCTCGTAAATGTTGAGTGGACTTTACAGAAGTTATGGGAACTTCTGAGAAGTCTGGGAATATTTCGTAAAAGTTCAGAGAACTTCATAAACATACGAATAGCTCCACAAAAACAAAATCGAAGAATTTCATAGAGAAAAGTAAACTTTATGAAACTTGTATTTTAAAACAGTTTCAGGGAAAATCATTGAAGATCAGGTCGTTTTACAGAAGTGTGAGGTATATGATGAAAGATCGGGGATCATCATAGAAGTTCTGGGAATATAATGTTTTTTATAGAACTTCATGGAAATGCATGGATCTTTACAGAATTGCATGAAAATGCTTGCGTCTTTTACAGACATTTTAATTGCTCAGAAATTATTCCAACGATCTTCATGTGTTCAAATATCTCTATGAAGTCCTCTTGATATTTTTCAAGATTTCTGGATGATCAGGTATTATTTTAAAGATCTTCAAACATCCATGAATTTAAATCACGTTTATTAGATCTTCTCTCATGATCCCAGGTTGCTCAGAAATTATTCCGTACACCATCAGGTCATCAGAGATCCTCATGGTAACCTTAGGTTACCTTTCCAATGCTTCAAAATGATCAAGAATCATTCTGAAAATATCCAACTATCCAACAATCCAAACCATATCTCTCAGATATTCTCTCATATTTCATTAGGCAGCTCAGACATTATTCCAAAGACCTTCATGCGTTGTAAGATTTCCATAAAGTCATCTGGATACTTTTTCAAGCCTTCATGTTGATCAGGTACTATTGTTTCAAACTGTCCAACAATTCAAATCACATCTCCCATATATTCTCTCACCAGGTGATTAGATGTCCCATAAAAACTTCTCTGGATATTTGTTCGATCTTCTACTGTCCAATAATACAAATCACGTCTCTCAGATATTTTCTTATGATACCAGGTTGCTCAGAAATTGTTTCAAAGGCCATCAAGTTTATATTCGTGCTAAAATTACCGAAGCAAACAAACTTTACACACGCACACGTTTGTAGGAATGAATACCACACACCTTTTGAAACTATGCGTTGCGCTGATCGCGTTGCTATTTCATTTCTGATGGTTTCAAATTTTAAAACTGTCCAGCAGTTTGAAAGAATTTTGAAACTCAGCATTGCGAACGGCCTAACGATTTTCAGGAATGCTCTGAGTGACATACAGGGGTTGACCAAACAATCGGGACTAGCAATGTTTTGCCCAACTTTAAAGTGCTTCAGTTTCATGAACAATAATCCGATTTTGATCAAGCTGGAAGCATTCGCCGGGGAACTTATATTATCGTATATTGGGCCAAACATTGCGGTAGCTATTGAATAACGGGGATGTTTTGAGGTAATGCAAAACATGACATTTTAGTTTGAAAATCTGAAATATTATTTATTTTTCTCAATAACTATGGTGTCTACTGCAGGGTGAAAATTTTTGATTCGGTCCATAGTCAACTTAGATACGACCATTTTCGTAAAATTTGTTCTGGAAATCATCATCATTATCGGTTTTTCTTTAAACTTTTAAATGTGGGTATCAAACTTATTGATTATGCAAAGTGGTGTTAATCGAAACATTTTGAGACCCATCAGTAGCTTTGGTCACTCTCTAGTAGGCTCTAGGCACCCTCTGGGAAACGGCTTGCAGCTAATATTAAAGCCCACGATACGGCACATCAAACAGCGTCAATATACAATCAGTAATCCATTTGTTGAATTTAATAATCTTTAGGATCACATTTGTTCACATAGGTGAATGTTTCTAAGATAAATGACAAATGGTTGAATGGAGAAAAGATCAAATGGACAAAAGGTCAAATTATGCAAAGAGGAACAAAAAGTCGAATGAACAAATAGTTAAATGTTTAAAAAAAGGGACAAAACGTCGACTGGTTCAAAGAGGGACAAAAGGTCGAATGGCCCAAAGAGGAACAAAAACAACAACCTCTGGTTGAAGCCTTCGGTACCATAGGCGTATCCAACGGGGTGGGGTGGGGCAACTGACCCCTAGCTCAGCCGCAAATTAAATTTTTCAGATTTCATGTATCTAGAAAAAAGTTTACTCTTAGAATCATTAGATATTTTGTCTATTCGACCTTTTATACCTTAGGCCTTTTGTCATTCGAAGTTTTGTCGATTCCACCTTTTAATTTGTTTCTCTTTGAATCGTTTGACCTGTTGTCCCTTTTTGAATCATTCGACCTTTTGTCAATTCACCCTTTGGTCCTTTCGACATTTTGTCATTCCGAATCTATAACAAAAAGTTGAAGCACAAAAGGTCGAAAGACAAAATGTTGAAGGGACAAAAGGTCGATGTAGACAAAAGGTCGAATGGATAAAAGGTTTAAATTGACAAAAGAACGAATGGGAAAAAGGGAGAATTAACAAAAGTTTGAGTGAAATTTACAGGAACAAATGGTCGAATGATTTTGAAATGCACAATAGGTCGAATAGACAATTGGTTGAATAGAAAATTGGTCGAATGGACAAAAGGTAAAATGGACAAAAGGTAGAAATGGAAAAAAAAAACTTTCGAGCACTTCAAAATCAACACTCCAGTAGGTTATGTCCGGCAAACAACAGTTCATTTTACAAGGAAGTTGTTAACTACAAGGGAGAGAAATAACTTTCGTGTATTTTCAGATGGAATGTTCAATGGCTCATGTTATAAAGAAGGAGTCAACTTCAATATCAAGAATTTTTAGCTGGATTGTTCAATAGTTTTTATCTGCCAAAGAACTGCTCTTTGCTCATGTTTTATAGAGGAAATTGTACCTTTTGATCGTTTTCGGAATTTTTTCCATTAAGAGTATTCGACCTTTTGAACAATTTAATTTCATTCGATGTTTTGTCCACCTGATGTTTGTCCATTCGACCTTTTGTTCAGCTGAACTTTTTTTCATCTGACCTTTTGTCCATTCGACCTTTTGTCCATTCGACCTTTTGTCAATTCGACTTTTTGTCAATTCGACCTTTGGTCAATTCGACCTTTTGTCAATTCGACCTTTTGTCAATTCGACCTTTTGTCAATTCGACCTTTTGTCAATTCGACCTTTTTTCAATTTGACCTTTTGTCCATTCGACCTTCTATCTTTCGGTATTG